TTGTCAGACTGCTGTAGAAGAAAGTCTAATATTCTTCCAGCTCTCTCAGTTCATCACACTGTAAGTTGTATTCTAAAAAATATTTGCTAAAAAAAAAATCAGTTTTTCTGTCATAAAACCATAATAAAAGAAGAGGGGAGGCAGAGGAGTCCTTGGTCCAAATACTATTTTTCAAGTTATGGTTTACAAATTTTATTTAGTTTTTTTAGTTTTATTTATAGGAAATGAGATTTTCCTTCATAAACAGCTGACTAATGCTGTGGATTAGTCAGCAGCGTCAGACAGCATGTTGACCTAGAAGCTGTCATCTGCACAGATACAGCATCATTTTAAAGCTGACATGGTTTTGAAATGGACTCCTTTTTTCTTAACATTCGAGTTTCTGCATGAAAGCACTTTATATTTAACACGGTGCTGAAATAGAGCGAAGGATAAAATCCTTGTCACAGCAGTTTTCATTTACAATAGAGTCGATGTAAAGGCATGTGAGAGCGAAGTGAGGAATATGAAATGATATTTATTCTGCCACTTGTTGTGTGTTGCAGGTGAAAATGGTCCTAGAGAGTCTATATGAAAACAAGAAGATTGCTAGTGCCACTCATAATATTTATGCATACAGGTAAGTAATACATACTGTTAGTAATGTATGTATGTCTATATATACACGTTTAATATATATGTATATGTGAATGTTAATTCATTAATTTACAATGCAAACCATACTAACTCCCTCAGGTTAGTGTTACAGTGCGTCTCATTAGTGGAGGAAATCATGAGATAAGTAAAGACTGAAGGTTGGTCTGTCTTCTCTAAAGGGCACATTACTGCATTAAAGGTCAAAAAAAGCACCAGAGAAAATGAAGGCTTTTTGATAGTATTGTGTATTATGTGAATATATAGATGTGTGTGTGTCTTCCTGTGTGTGTGTTTTCTGCCTGGATGCCTCTGTGTGCAGTTTTTTTCCAGCGTGGTCTAATGAGGTCGATGTCAAGCTGCTGATGCACTGCCTGGATGGTCATTACTGTTGACATTTAGACCACTTTAAAAAAACTTTCTCCGTTGAAGAGGCTGCCAGTGTCACAGCGTCATCCTCTGACCAAAATGTCTTAATTCTCTACCGCCTAATGCCAAGCTGTTGTGATTCTGTTGTAGGATTTACTGCGAGGACAAGCACAGCTTCCTGCAGGACTGCGAAGACGACGGCGAGACAGCCGCAGGGGGGAGATTGCTCCATTTACTGCAGGTTATTATTTCATTAGGAATATAAAATACTGACCTTGACAGTAACAACATACCACTCTTTCAGCTGCATACTAAACATTAACAAGATGCCAAATGAAGAGTCACTGCAGCGCACAAAAAGCTTTGTGCCAAAATTTACATTACAAACACTGTTAAAATTGTGAGCTGCATCTAACTTTCGTTTGGCTTCTGTGTGCTTGATTGGTGTCTCTTCTTGAGTTGCCGTGTTCATTTTCACAGTCTGCATAATTTGGCATCTGCTGTGGCTTTTAAACTTGGATTGGTATGAGTTAGGAGTTTTTCACAGACTCTTGACAATATACCAAAACTTCCTATTTTCTGTGATAGTTTAGTACCTTTAGTTCCTCAAAAAACAGACACAAGGTAGTATATGTATATAATATGACACTATATATTGTATGAAATAGATCAAAGTGGTCACATGAAAAATTTGAATATTACAATGTATATTCAAACAAAGGATTTTGCTAATTGTACATTTTACAAAAAAAAAATATATATATATATATATTTATGTGTGTGTGTG